TATATGCATCACATTTAAAACAAATTAAAAGCTTCTAGAAAGTATGAATTAATTTTGTATTAGAATCAATTGAATTCACTAATTAGAGTTGTAACGTATTCAGATCGATTGTTCTATCATAAATAATATTAGTATTGAAATAACTTGAAAAGATGTAGAATTAGAATGGATTAGAATAAATTAACAGATTTGAATAAATATGGCATTGGAATCGATTAAATTCATATTAGAGTTTAAATGGATTGAGATAGATTGATCGGTGATAAATAAAATTAGCATTCGGATAGATTAAACAGATATAGAATTAGATCGGATTAAAATCAATTCGTAGATATGAATAAATATGGCATTGGAATCGATTTAATTCGTATTAGAGTTCAAATGGATTAAAATCGATTGATAGGTCATGGAGATAATTAGTGTTGGCAGGTGTAGAATTAGAATAGATTAGACCATATTCAAATTGAATATATATGTTTATACAAAAAAACGATACACAAATATTAAAGCGGATTGATTGAAATCGAAAAATTGGCATTAAAAATGATCGATAAGATTACCTATTCTGATTGGAATAAAATCGTATTAAGTTGGATTAAAATGGATTCGTAATCCATTTTGAGTCTAAAAGTGAATCTTCAAAAGTGGTATTCAAAGCATGTGTATGTCCAATTTTAGACACAAAAATGAGAAACAATTAAAATCTATTGGTTTGGCATGAAAAATCACCATTGAAAGCGATTGACATGAATAGGATTCATGCTGAATATTAATCCTATTTAATACCGATGAGTACATTACATACCGCCAGGATTAGTACCCATGAAATAAGTTTTAATTGTCATTTTCTGAATTCAGAAATAGACACAAACCGGATTGAATTATTTTCCAATCCGTACCAATGTCCTTGTTTTAGCAGGGTATGCAAAGACTGTTACGTAAAGTAGTTCAATCAAAATAGCTGAGAAGAATTCAAGAAAATATAAAAATTTTAGATTGAAACTAGATTTTTGTGTAAAAAAGGTAGCAAAAAAAGAAAAGTTTGGTACATAGTTTTTATTTTATTTTGATAGCTTTATTAATGATACAGGTAACTACTTACCCATAAAATGTCGAAACGAACGAGACAGTCCAAATTCTTAGAAGATATAAATAATATTGGAGAAGAGTTTTCGGAAATTGGTGAAGTTGAATTTTCTGAATACGAAGATATATTGGTTACAAACGACAATGAGTCTGAATCTACAGATACTGACAATGAAGAGGAAAATATTGTGAATATCGGTTGTGGACGAAAAAGAAGAAGATTACTCTCAAGTTCTGAAGAAAGTGAAGCAGAAATAAATGAACAACATGTTGCAATTGATGGATCTGTTTGGAAAGAAATATAAATGGGTGGCACACCTGGAAGACCACCACTTCATAACATTTTCAGGCAAGAAATAGGCCCAACAGGATATGCTAAACGTCATATAAGGAAAGGTAAAGTTAGTACTGCATTTTCATTGATAATTGACCACCGTATTATGAACCATATAAGAACATGCACAATAGAAGAAGCAGAGTGTTAGGATCCGATTGGAGTTTATCTCAAGAAAAACTTGCTGCATTTATTGCAATTTTATATGCACGAGTTGCATATGGAGCAAATAATTTGGAACTTTCTTTTTTGTGGAATAATATATGGGGGCCCAAATTTTTTTCTGAAACTATGAGCAGAAATAATTTTACCGAAATTCTTAGATTTATTCGTTTTGATAAAAAAAGTCAGCGAAGTGAACGTTTGAAAGCAGATAAATTTGCTATGGTATCCACGATTTGGAATATTTTCATTCAGAACAGCCAAAACTGTTACAAACCGGGCGGTAATATTACTATAGATGAACAGCTATTTCCGACTAAAGTACGATGTAGATTTACGCAATATAGTATATGCCTAACAAGCCGGATGAATTTGGAATCAAATTTTGGTTAGCATCGGACGTCGATAGCAAATACGTCATAAATGCATTTCCATATCTAAGAAAAGATGAAAATAGACCCTCTTCAGTACAACTCTCTGAATATGTTGTACTCAAGCTGATCGAGCCATTTACGGGTTGCGGAAGAACTGTGACCACAGACAACTTCTTCACAAGCAAATCCCTAGCCATACAACTTCTAGCAAAAAGAACTACCCTAGTTGGAACCATTCGCTTAAACAAGAGAGAGCTGCCACTAATTGCAAAGCAAAAGAAAGATGACATGGCAAGATTTTCTTCGAAAATTTTTACTTCTGATAATTGTACTCTTACAATTTATAAAAGCAAGTCAAATAAAAAGGTACTTTTACTTAGTTCTAAACATAAATTTGTATCAATAGAAAATAATAATAAGCGTTTACCTGAAACTGTTTCATATTACAATAAATTTGGTGTACACGTGACCGATTAAATGGCGAGGAAATTTACTACAAAGTCTAAGTCTTGCAGATGGCCACTCCAAGTTTTTTTTCAATATCCTTGATTTAGCTGCTATAAATGCCTGGATTTTATACAAGCAAACGACAGGAGATAATATCTCGAGACAAGATTTTTTACTCAAGCTAGCAGTAGAACTTGCCGACGATTTTCGAGTTGCCCGTGAACAACCAAAAGAAAAAGCAAATACTAAACGATCGTTGCCTAACCCTGTTACAGATTCTAATAAACGTAAGAGGATTCAAATAGGATACCGCAAAGAAAATAAAACTAATAAAATTTGCTCCAATTGTAAAAAATTTGTTTCCGGGAAATGTGCGACGGAAACACTTATGTGTAAAAAATGTGATGTATAGAAACAACTCTTATTTTTTGCGTTTGAAATAGAAATTGTAAAAATACTATTTCATATAATTATAATACATATTTTATTATCATTATATTTTTATTTCCTTTCCAACATCCATATTTCATACATAAAAGTAGGAAACGTAAATTTCGGGTCATTTGACCCGCTATGGTAAACTAGGTATCTAATAAGTGTTGGTATGATTAGTGTTAATGATTGTTTGATTGGCTTTAGGGGTATTTCCCGAGGGCGCCGACCAGAAAAATTTTTTTCGTGCTCTTATTACAATTATACTTAAATGGGAAATCATTGTGCTGCCTCTTATCTATTGGTAATAACAAGTGTTAACGTAAAACATTAACATTTATTACGCCAGTTGCTCTAAAAGTAGTTTATAGGGGTTGTAATTAAATTAATGATGTGAAATCATTGTTTATCTCATTATAGCATTGCTGAGAAGCAATATATCATATTGAAAATTGAAACTTGAAATTTGGAAATTTTCGTTCACTGTGAACGATCAAAACTTCATACTCATAATAATAGTTACACTTAATTGATATAATCTATTGATACGATAATTGTATAAAAAAATCTGCTATACATTTTTTTATTTTTTTCTCATAAAATTGTATAATTAATAGAACATTGAAGTGACTATAAACAATTTTATCAATTTTGTTAAATAATTTTCTTCTTATTAATAATCAGAGATCCTACATTTATATTTTTAAAGATACATAAATTTATAAATATAGCGATAACTATTTGTAAAATTTAAGTTTTATGGACATGAAAAGAATGTGAATAGGGCATTGAAGCATAAAATAGCCTGAAAATCTTATACACCGACTATAAAGAACAGAGATGATATTTAGCCATCTCTCATCAACCACTGACAAACTTTGATGGTTCAATTCTTAAATTATTTCTTTAACTAAGTAAACTAGACTAGGCTAAATCTTCTCCATACATACTTTAATTAACTGCATAGAGATGTAAGTAAGTAAAATTAATCAATCTCTTGGGACAAGTCTAGATACATTGACTTATGAAAATAATTTTATTTTTCTGATATATCAGATGTATGTCTTTGTTATGCTACAAAGCTATCTGGTCTATATCCCCCTGCTATTAGCAATTATTTAGTTTTTTTTCTATTGATAATCTAGAAATTCCGCTATATTTCTGTAAAGAAATCTAAAATAAAAGTGTATAATTCATGTCTATTTTTTACAGGAAAAATGTTTGAATATTTATTTCTTTAAATTGTACTTCTATTCGATAAAAGTAGGGTAAAATATTAAAACTTTTTCATTAGATTTTCTTTTATCAAATTGCAATAAAGTAATAAAGAACTTTGATTAAAAGTTTCTCAAAGCAAGATATTAAAATATACTGCTTTCAAATTTAATTCTTATAAATAATTTTATAAATAATAATAAAATAGTAAAATAATAAAATACTTTCATTAGAACTTTACTTTGACCATAAGTACAGTGATTAAGAGAATAGTTTTGACTTATTTAATCTGTAATGTTACTGATTAACTATGCCTTAATTATACTTGCAGCTAGATTTCTCTCAAATAATAGTGAATGTATTAAGATAAAGTACAGAGTTTTTGCTGATAATTTTAATATTGGTAAATTTATTAAAATAATTCATGCCTTCAAATTTATTTTAACTCCTATTTTAGTTACAAATAAAAAAGTGAAATTTAACAAGCTGCTACAAAATGATAAATTATTGAATGTTTGAAGAAGTAGACTGAATAAATAATACTATTTATATCTGTTAGTGAACATCTCTCTTCTCGTAACAGAAAAAATCAAATTTTTAAAAATATTTATAGCATATACTGGGCAGTGCTTATACAGTGGAAACTAATAATTTATTCAACAAACTGAAATATAGTTTAGTTTGGTAATTCTTGTATGGCAGTCATTAAATTTAATTTTCTTCTATTAGTTGAGAATTACTGTATTGATTTATAAGTTTAATTTGTGAAGTATTTAAAAATTATAAATAAAAGTATTAAAATGAAAAAATCACTAATGTACAACAATTTCCTGTAACTCTAATAAATAAATAATACAAATAAATTTTACGTAATTATCAGAAGTAATACTTTTTTATTGTTTAAGTAATATGAAAGCTAATAATTTTATCAAAGAAAAAAAAATAATTACGTGAGTCAGGACAATGTGGTAAAACGGCCGGTTCGTACAACCATATTTAACAAATCTTATAGTTTTTTGATTGAATTTTGAAAGAAGTCCAGACCCAGAGGCTAGTTGAAAAGCTATTCGGGGCATATTTACTCATTAAATATACTGTGCTATATTGATTGAATAGTACTTTCTCAAAGTTATTTCTTCAAATTATTGAAATTGTATCAAAGAGACGGAGGCATGAGATATTACAGATAGAGTAGGCATGAATAAGGGATGCTGGTAAGCAGGAACGACCCATCTTACTCCAGCCGGCAAACTTAATTCTTAGTAAAAACAAAAATGCAAGTCGAAATATCTCTAACTGCACTATTCAAAATTGTTTCTAGTTTAAACTGCACTGTCCTAGTTTTTCCAGAAAAAATTTATAACTTTACGGATTTTTTGAACGGTCAAATCTTTTTAAGTATTCGATATTTGTATATATTAATTTGACAAAAAAACTGCACTTTGACTGATCTTAACTACACCATCTTTACTTTTGCGAAATTATCAACATAAATATTAGATAATGAATATAAACTATATTATTCTATTGGTCATGCAGCAGTACTGTTTCAGATTCAGTTTACTAGATGGCGGTGGGTCTCTTAGCTGAGATTCCGATATGCCGCCAATGTTTGGTAATCACATATGTGAGGAGCTGAGGTCGTGCCTCCTACTTGCTTGAGTAATTGTGGCCTAGTGTGAGTATTGTATAGGGTGGTTTAATCACTTGGTGGTTAACCTGGTTTTCCTTCCTCCGGGGGAGTTTTGGTTACAAGGTTAATTGTAATTCCACGACCTATTGATTGCAATATCCACGTTTTTCTCAGCTACCAGCTTGCCGGATAGAGGTCTAAAAAGTTAGCACCCAGAATCCTTTTTTTTAAGCTAATCGATAAACTAATTATACCGTTAGATATTTCGTCAGGATAGAAACAACTTTTCTCTTTGTCGATTGTTGGTTCGTCCACTGGAAATCCTTAAAATTAATAAAATAAGTCTTAGGTGCTGGCCTTTGCACCCAAACCAAAGTTGCGGTCAAACTTAGAAAATATTAAGTAAAAAAAATTCGTAAGTAAACCGATCGTTAGTTCGTCTTACGAACTAACAGCACCCATAATAAAATCATGACTAATTTGATTATTTAAGCAACTAAAAATAAAAAACTGTTTCGAATATTGGCTCACGTTCAAACGCCAAAGCGCGGTACGCATGCTTCCTGAATTATCCCCGCCGGTACGCGAACCCCCGCTCTTATTTTTTACTACACCTGTGTGTAGTAAAAAATAAGTGAGCCAATATTCGAAACAGTTTTTTATTTTTAGTTGCTTAAATAATCAAATTAGTCATGATTTTATTATGGGTGCTGTTAGTTCGTAAGACGAACTAACGATCGGTTTACTTACGAATTTTTTTTACTTAATATTTTCTAAGTTTGACCGCAACTTTGGTTTGGGTGCAAAGGCCAGCACCTAAGACTTATTTTATTAATTTTAAGGATTTTCAGTGGACGAACCAACAAACGACAAAGAGAAAAGTTGTTTCTATCCTGACGAAATATCTAACGGTATAATTAGTTTATCGATTAGCTTAAAAAAAAGGATTCTGGGTGCTAACTTTTTAGACCTGCCGGATAGGCACTTTTACATTCAAGATGGCCGAGGGTGTCAGCTTATATACACCATACGAATCATTTGTTCACATGGAGGGGGATGATGATAATCAGGCGCTTAAGTTAAAGAGAAGCCTTGAATTGAATGATTCCGAATCATCGGAAATAGATGACATTAATGATATTATTAAAAGAAAGTCAGCCAAGAGGTTGAACGTAGTTGATGTCCGCAATACATTGATCAACGTAAACCCTAATTTACCGACAGATGGTAACTCTACTTCTAAACCTGTAGGATATAGTAGTATTCATAAAGGTCCATACTACGTATGGGTAAAACAGGAAAATTCTAGTGATGCCAAACCTTTCAGTATTTTTAAAATTGGAATGGCTGTTCACGGTCATTTTAATTCGATCGTTCAAGTTAAAAGAGACGGTAGATCAAAAGGTATTATCATCTTCAAAGACAGGGAAGAGGCTAATCGTGCTCTATCCAACAAATGTTTTGTAGATAAAGGTCTATCTACCTTCCGGAATTCAAAAAAACGCGCAAAGGCGTGATCAAAGGCATTCCTGTAGATATCGATTTAGATGACTTAAAAGTGGGCATTCAAAGTGATGTCATCATCAGTAAGATCGCAAGATTGAATAAAAGAATGAAGTTAACACCAGAAAGCGATATAACGTGGGTTCCTACTACGTCTATTTTGATTGATTTTGAAAGTGATGTATTACCCAAAGAAATAGTGATATTTCATGTCATTGCCAAAGTATTTCCATATGTTAGGAAAACTCTACAGTGACTAAATTGTTTCAAGTTTGGCCATATGGCTAAAAACTGCCGTGGTAAAACTAAATGCTCTATATGTGGTGAATTTCAGCACATTGGTTCTCCCTGCATTGGCCTCACTCCAAGATGCTGTAATTGCAAGGAGTCGCATAAATCCATTGACAAAAGTTGTAGAATTTACAAAATGAATACTATAGTCAACGAAAAAAAGGCATTCGAAAATTTATCATATTTTGAAGCAAAATAGTTAGTTCAGGTCAAACACCGTTGAATACTATTGAATCATTTCCCAATTGGAAAAGTAATACTCAACCCAACCCAAGTTAAATAAGACAACTGGAGTGTCTTATACGCAGAAAACCAATTCTACTCCTCCTATTATCAACCATCAGTCTTTGCCTAGTCAGGGGATATCTACAAATTCTAAAATCAATATGGAAAAGAACAATCAAGAAAATGAGAAGAAAGAAAAAGAGAAGAAAGGAAATAAGTCTGCCTTATGTCAGTCTACACAACCAACTGGGAAGCCCAAGGACTATACCAGGATCCCGTTGAATCAGCATGAAAGTGTCACAGAAAAACTGTTGGAGAGATTTGCGAATGTAAATAGTGGTAAAGGTAGAATAAATACTAAAGGTTCATGCAACGCTACTACAAATAAACATAAGTCTAAGGTTAAATAGATCCTATTTAAATTTTATTGTATTTATTACTTTTAGTAATAGGATTTAATTTTATTAAATTTTCAATATGTATAATTTTCATCAAAATTTAAATATCTTACAATGGAATTGTCGTAGCGTCCCTATTAAAAAAATCCATCAAGAAATCGAGGCTGGATTTCTATATAGATATCTAGCTAGATTTCCATGTAGATTTGTATAGATTCTATATGGATTCTACATAGATTTCCAGAATAGGATTCTTGCATGGATTTCCATGATAGAATCCTCCCAAATTCCAGCTCGATTTCTCCGCAGATCCTGGTGGATTTCTCGGAGAATCTAGATGGATTTCTAGGCAAATCTAGATGGATTTCTCGACATGCCTAGATGGATTTCTTAGCAAATCTAGGTGGATTTCTCGGCAGATCCAGGTGGATTTCTCGGCAAATCTAGGTGGATTTCTCGGCAGATCCAGATGGATTTCTCGACAAATCTAGGTGGATTTCTCGGCATGCCTACATGGATTTTTCGACAAATCTAGGTGGATTTCTCGGCAGATCCAGGTGGATTTCTCGGCAAATCTAGATGGATTTCTCGACATGCCTAGATGGATTTTTCGGCAAATCTAGATGGATTTCTCGACGTGCCTAGATGGATTTCTCGGCAAATCTAGACGGATTTCCCTTTAAATCCGGGTAGATTCCTCAATAGTTCTAGGTATATTTTTTCGAAAATTCAGGTTCATTTATTGGCATATTAAGATGAATTTCTAGAGAAATATACGTGGATTAAGGAGAACTTTTTTTTTTAACTCGGGTGGATTCGCTGATAACTGTAGGTGAATTCTTTGAACAAACTTTTGAATTTCGTAACAAATCTAGGTAGATATTTAATATATTTAGATAGATTTTATTACTTCCGGTAAATTGTACGTGAAATACTGACTGTTATATCAACAATAACTTATAATCTTTTACAAAATTGTAGGTACTGAACCTTATAAATACTTTGATAAATACTTTGAGACTACTAAGGGTTCCAAATAGATTTGATGTCAAATCCAGATTCTTAATTTTAATTTTAGGTATAGATTTTCACGAACGCATACAGATTTTACAGAAATCCATCGGCATTTATCAATGAAAATGGAGATGTTCAAAAAATTGATGGAGAATTTAACACTAGATGGTCTTTTTCTTTTATGTCCATTACATAATGAACATGAATAGTAATATGGACAATTTATGAAAAATGTTCAAATACATATTTAGTTTTGGCTAAACTTAATACTTTCAACGATAAGTTAATAGTATTATAAAAAAGTACATAAGATCAAGTAATCATATCTAACTACAATAAATTGTTAATTTAGTAACGCAAAATATAAAATCAAAGTTAATTATGCAAAAACTAAAGAGTAGATAAGCAATGTATGTTCTTGGACACAAAGGAGCCGACAAAGGATGCCGCCAATGTATAAGGATACGTGTATGTTCTGGGACACAAAGGAGCCGCCCGATGAAGGTGTGAAGGTAGTGACACCTTTTAATTAATGGTCAGACCCTATGGTGAGTGTCTAAAAGGGATTTGATGTACCTTTGACACCTTCCGCGTGCCAGTGGGCCCCATGGTGAGTGTTAAGGGGCATTTGATGTTGGTTTGACACCTCGCGCGCGCCGCCAATGTATAAGGATACGTGTATGTTCTGGGACACAAAGGAGCCGCCCGATGAAGGTGTGAAGGTAGTGACACCTTTTAATCGCGATACGGTGAGACCCCATGCTGAGTGTTGCATTTGATGTTCGTTCGACACCTCCCGCATGCCAGTGGGCCCTTCGAGGGGGCCAGTCCCCCGCCTCCTTCGATAGTAGGGCACTTCACCCACCCACCCACCCCCTCCCACAGAGGTTGTTAAGGTAGGATGCTGTAGAAGTCGGTAGGGTGTTTGGTAAACTACATGCTTATGCTGGCTAAGTGTGGACCCTCGGAGAGGGGGTAGCGTCTCTAGCTTGCTAGGCGCGTACGCCGTATAGTGAGGATGCTGTTCTCTCTCTCTCTCTATCCCTCTCTCTCACTCTCCTTCGATAGTAGGGCGCTTATGCTGGCTGAATGTGGACCCTCGGAGAGGGGGTAGCGTCTCTAGCTTGCTAGGCGCGTACGCCGTATAGTGTGGATGCCGTTCTCTCTCTCTCTCGCTCTCCTTCGATAGTAGGGCGCTTAGTAAGCTTATGCTAGCTGAGTGTGGG